CTGTCCCCTGGCTCTCTGATGCTGGGGTGAGCATCCCTGGGTGGGCAGCAGCAAATTGCTAACACCCCTGGGAAGGGGGAGGGTTGCTGTGAGGCTCCAGCTGCTGGTGCCCCTCAGGTGTGTGACTGGGCACAGAGCTTGGTTGCATTCACACACTCTGCACGTGGATAGAGGAGATGTTTTTGTGCCAGTGTGAAAAGGTGCATACCTGGATGCCACATGCCACTGTCTACATCTCCCAGGGGGCAGCAGGCAGGCCCTGTCCTGGGAGTGGGGAAACTGAGGCAGGCACAGGGTCGGTGGTCCACCCTGGTGACCCAGGAGGATGCAGAGCCTGCAGCAGGCAGGGGAACCTGCAGCCCCTCTCACCTGTCCCACTTCACCCTGCAGCAGCCGCACCAAGAACATGATGTGGTACGGGGTGCTGGGCACAGAGGAGCTGCTGCAGAGAACCTACAAGAACCTGGAGCAGCGGGTGCAGCTGGAGGTAAAAGAACATGATGTGGTACGGGGTGCTGGGCACAGAGGAGCTGCTGCAGAGAACCTACAAGAACCTGGAGCAGCGGGTGCAGCTGGAGGTAACGGGGCTGGGAGGAATGGGGCTGGGACGGGGGGGGGGGGGGGCGGGGTGCCCCCTTGCAGTGTGATGGGGTGCCCATCTCGCTGCCCAGCCTGCAGGGCATTGCTGTCCTCAACATCCCCAGCTACGCCGGGGGCATCAACTTCTGGGGAGGCACCAAAGAAGACAACGTGAGTGTCTGTGCTCTCGGGTGCGGGGGCACAATGTCCTTCCCATGGTCCCAGGGAACCTGGGAGCCCTCAGGCAGGGGCTGGATGTCCCTTCCTCGGGCACACGCAGGGAAGAAGCTGGGTCCCAAAACAAGCTTGGTTTGGAGGGTCTCACTCGTACTGGTTCCCCACAGAACTTTGGGGCTCCATCCTTTGATGACAAGAAGCTGGAAGTGGTGGCTGTCTTTGGCAGCATCCAGATGGCCGTGTCGCGGGTCATCAACCTCCAGCACCACCGCATTGCACAGGTAGGGAGGGACGAGGGCCCCTGCCTGCGGCTGGGCAGCTGTTGTGCAGCGCGGGGCAGCTGGGCCGGGCGCCCGGCTGGCTCTGGCACAGCCCAGGGGCCTTTCAGCCCCACACAGCAGACACAGGCCATGGTGCAGGGCCAGCACGATGCCAGCCCCAGGCTCTCCATCCCTCAGTGCCGCGTGGTGAAGATCACCATCCGGGGGGATGAGGGCGTACCTGTGCAGGTGGATGGAGAAGCCTGGATCCAGCCGCCTGGCATCATCAAGATCCAGCACAAGAACCGAGCCCAGATGCTGACAAGGGACAGGGTGAGCTCAGGCTTGGACAGCAGGACCATGCTGGGGCATGGGGAGGTGTGGCAGGCTCTGAGGGGGCCTGTCTCCACCCCCCGCAGGCATTTGAAAGTACCCTCAAGTCCTGGGAGGACAAGCAGAAGGGGGAGAGCTACCGAGCAGCTGCCCGGCCACGGCTCAGCTCCCAGCAGTCCATGGAGTACCTGACTGAGGAGGAGAGCAGCCTCTTGCAGCAGGTGTCACAGGTCGCCGAGACCCTCATCGCCAGGTCAGGCTGCAGGATGAGGAACATGGGGGGCTTCTCTGTAGCCACCCAGAGCTGGAGTGGCCTCCCAGTCCCATGCTGCTGGTCCAGCCCAGCCCCTCTCTCTTGCAGGATCCATGAGGCAGCCAAGGCTCACAAAGCTGTGGAGCAGGAGCTGGCACATGCTGTCAATACCAGCTCCTTGGCACTGAGTGAAGCCCACTCCAACAAAGCCACCAGCCCCTCGGAGGTGAGCTAGGGCTGGGGGTGCAAGGCAGCCTTCTCCTGGCCATCCAGGGCTCTGCCACTCAAGGGGTCACCCCTCCATGTCCCCTCAGTTTCTCAGCAGGGATGCAGCTGTCGAAGAGGTGC